GAAATATTCTTGAGATTTCCCACTGCCTGCATGTCAGCAGCCATGATGCTAAAATTCTAGATGGCTCACTGTTAGCAGGTTTGTGCTAAGAATGGAGACTCTGAAAGATGAACACGTCCTAAATAACTGGTCTTCTTAATACATAAGGGGAGTTTTGAATACCCCCAAAATTGCTTCTACCTATCTGGTAGTGTCCCGTAAAGGTTCCTGACTCACTTTATATACTTACTTTAAATATTTAAATGTCCATTTAAATATATATATACAGGCTTACTTTAAATATCTAAATATCCCAGAAAGTCACATACAAAGCAGATACTAATTTACACTAGAGTTATTAAGGTCACATTACCAACCTGAATGCATTAATGCTCTATATGTTTGACTCTGGGTCTGATTCATTCTCTATTAATCTCCTTTATGTGATGCAAGTTCCCACCCCTTCAAAAACAGTAAGGTGTCTGGAAGAGGCACGCTAAGGAATACTAGAAACAGAACCAAAGTTGCCAGGTACACACTATACAAATACCAAATCATGTACTGAGTAAAACAATAATTAGAATCACTTTTCATTATTCTCATTTCCTTTTTATTGTACTGAATGCTTTAAAAAATAATACAATTTCAATTTACGTGATTGTCAATGCCCTATTATTTTAATAAAAGTAACATAACAAGTTTTACTATGCCTCAAAAATGTTTTTGAATCCATAACAAGGTTAATAAAATGCGACTATATGTGGAAAGAGATATAATTAAGAGCTGTACATTCTCAGTTTTGTTTTTTTTTTAAGATTTCATCTATTTATTTGACAGAGAGAGAGACAGCGAGAGAGGGAACACAAGCAAAGGGAGTGGGAGAGGGAGAAGCAGGCCTCCCGCTGAGCAGGGAGCCCGATGCAGGGCTTGATCCCAGGACCCTGGGATCATGACCCAAGCCAAAGGCAGACACCCAATGACCGAGCCACCCAGGCGCCCCTCAGTTTTAAACAAAAGATCCGCACATTTTAAAATATATTTCCTCACCAGCGAAATGTTCAGTGTATTTGTAATTAAGACTATGGGCTTTATCTCTAAATCTAGAATGGAATAACTAACACATATCAATGAAGAAGGTAGAAATTACAATTTATCATTTAAGCTTCCTATCAATGCATTAATTTACCTACATATGCCAACTCCTTATTTTGTTTTAACGTCAGAAGACATATAGAACCCAGTACCTTAAAAGCAGCAACTTGCAAAACAAGACTGTGACTAGTTATTTTTCAGAAAAGATCAAGAATTTTGCAAAACCACATCTTGCTCATGATTAGGAGAACTACAAATTTGTATTGCTTTAGAGTGAGCAACTAAATCAGGCACAACCCAGAAATTTCTGTGCCAAGAAATTCACAGAGCAGACACTTCAGGGGCAGCTTTGCTGCTAATGACACTGAAGCTTCTAAATACCAGCCAAACTCAAAAGTATGGGACCACTTCTCCTGATGTCATTGGAACTGTATTAACTGTGTTTTTTGGATACAAAAATCATGTTTCACATGGTAAAAGGGTGATATTAAAATATTTATCTTTGAATATCAATGAATTCTACAATCTAAAAGGGAGGTGTATATCAATATGTAGTGTAAGCACCCTGACAATTAGTTTTTCTGATTGTAATGTTAAGTGCCTGACATTAGGCTTCTGACTGCAGAGGCAATCACTTCAAAGACATGCGTCTGAAATAAACATACTGCCCGCTACACAGCTCAATAGCCAGGCCACCCCACCTGGGAAGTTCCCCTTTTTAGAGATCTCTGGTTGACCTAGGTAACTGACCATCTAACTGCTTGCTTTTTCCCCCTTCCCTCACTTTAATTTCTGCTCTTATATTTTAAATTCACTAATAAAGAGTGAATCCCTGAAACCCTAGGTGCCGTACCCTCAACCCCAGGCTTGCACACTTTCTTTCTACTGGCAACCTCGCTGTGTGGCCCCGAGCATGCCTTATACCCTTAAAAACATGTGGGTAATAAACTTTGTTTTTTCGAAGTTCCTTGATGGTTGTTGCTGGGGCACATCTTGTAATCATAGTAACGATCACAAGGGTCTCGGTGCAGCTACAACATTGGCTCTGAAAGGGGAAATGTCTGTGGGGACTCGCCACAACTAGCACAGGGGCAGGTGCGTGCTTCCAGTATTCCTAGCCAATAGTCACTATCGATAGTGTGAGACTGACCCAAAAGAAAAATAGTACAGAATCCTTTGAACTCTGGCTATGACTGGCTTTAGCCCTTTAATTATGAAGGCTCTGTCGGTTAAGTGTCTGTCTTCTCTGTCTTCCGCTCAGGTCATGATCTCAGGGTCCTGGGATTGAGCCCCTTCAGGCTCCCTACTCAGCGGGGGGTCTGCTTCTCCTCCCTCTGTCCATCCCCCTGCTCCTGCTCTCTCTCTATCTCTAAAATAAATAAATAAAATCTTTAAAAAAAAAAGTTACTAAGTCTTGAGTAGGTCCAAGCTTCAAAAGGAGTGTTTGAGGGCAGGTCAGGCACCGGTGTGAGGACCTAGGACAGTGTCTGGTTACCAACCAGCAAAGAAATGTTTCTTTGGAAAATATTTCACTGGCAAAGATTTACCACTGTGTGCCAGCTAATCAGCAGCCCTGATTTTAGTTTAGCCTCATGTACCAAACAACCTGTTTGGTACTATTCTTCCTGTACATTTCTAAATCAGCCTCTCATTCAGAATATAACATGTAGTTCAACTTGCCTTAAAACTCAAAATCTTCCTATTCAAGTAATGGATTATATACCACATGACATATCAAAACTTAGAAATAATTTTATTCAATGTTCTTAGTAATCTGACCCTGTTTTAACAATAAAATCCTAGGATTTGAAAAGTTAAAGGGAAGCAAAGTTGTGTGACAGAGATAATGAGATTTGATCTCAAATCTAGGTTCTTTCACAAGATAGCTGGGTGAGGGTCAAAAAGACAAATAGTAGTACTTCAATTTCCTCTGCTATAAATTCAGAATTATACTTCACAATGTAGATCTCTTAAACAGACTAAGTTAGATAATGTATTAGCAAATAAAGCAAACCTACTCAAAGAAAGATGGGTATTTAAAGATTCTCACAGCAATACCATTTTTTCGTGTTAATGTTATTTCTTGCCAAATATTTAAGTGTTCCACTCTTTAATCTCTCTTGATAGCATTTTTCCTTATTCAGTCTTTTTAGGTCCACTGCTTCATGAACTTTACTGCACATGAATCACCTGGGGATACTTTAAAACTACAGATGCTGGTTCCTTAGATCCAGAATGAGATCTGAATTTCTGCCTTTCATACCAGCTCAGTGTCTGTCTGGACTAGCAACCTCAGCCTCAAATGGGAACCTGTTAGACATGCAAATGTGCACGCCCCACCCAAGACTTACTAAATCAGGAACTCTGGAGGTGGGGCTCGGAATCTGTTTTAACAAGCCCCCAGCGTGAGTCCTATGTAGGGTCAAACTTGAGAACCGGGGTTCTAGCATGAGGGTTCTCAATTTTGACTTCCCATTAGAATCACATGGGGAGCTTTCTAAATTTGCAGTGCTTAACTGACCCTCCAGACAAATTATATCATAGTCTATAGGTTGGACTGAGGCATGCATAGTTTTGAAAACTTCCCAGGTGAGGGGTGCCTGGATGGCTCAGTCAGTTAAGTGTCTACCTTCAGCTCAGGTCATGATCCAGGAGTCCCAAGATTGAGCCTCACGTTGGGCTCACTGCTCAGCAGGGAGTTGGCTTTTCCCTCTCCCTCTGCAGCTCCCCCTGCTCCTTCTCTCTCTCTTGCTCACTCTCTCTCAAACAAATAAAATCTTTAAAAAACAAAACAAAACAAAACTTATCAGGTGATTCTGGTTTCCAGTCATGAGCAGTACTGCTCTGGGCGGGGGCGGGGGGACAGGGGGGAGACCACCATATCTATTTGTTCATGAACAAGGTCAGTAATGCACAAAAAGACAACTGTCTCCCAGGACTGAGTTCAGTGCTTGATGGGAGCCTAAAGCAAAACCATTAAAAATTTGTTTTTAAATATCAACAAAAGACACTGTTAGCATCAAAAGAGAAAAACAGGAGTCTGAGTGGTATAACTTAGATGATTTTATCCACCTACATATGCAAGAGACATGGAAGGTGGAGTTCAGGAGAACTAGATACAGCCACACTCTGCTCTGGACACAACATTCCAATAGCATCTGTCTCTCTCCCTTCTAATTCCTAACACAGAAATCAATCCTTTGACTATGAATATACCAAACAGTAATAACCCCACTACAAATCAATAAATGATCACACTGAGTACATACACTGATACTCATCTTTAGTGTACAATTACCTCTAATGCTACTTCTCACTATAAACATTTTTAACAAACTTTTTTGCTCTACCCATTAGCCACTTCTAACTTTGGGAATCAAATCATCTCAGGGTGCAACGGAAAAGTGGAATTTCTGATCCTACAAGGTAAGAAATCCAGAAACATGTTTTTACCAAGGTGTATTTGAATTTCCCTGAGTCTGTTAAGGCAACATGTAACAAAATCATACTGTTAGGAAACTCGTTATGCTGATATTTCTCATTTTCATTTAATACCTATTTAGCATTTCCTTTGTTCCAGTCCCTGTCCAGTTACTCAATGATTACTAACTCAGGGAATTTCCCATGATTACAGAGGAGAGAGTTTCTGTTATTACCCTCATTTTATGTAGGAGAAAACAGAGGCACTCAGAAGATTAAGTAAGTTCATCTCAGTTAACAGAGCCAAGATTCAAAGCCACAGAGCCTAGCTGCAGTATGTGCTGGTAACAGCTGTCAAACTGTTTCCCATGGGAGCAATGCTACGTTTGGAAACTTATTGTACAACTTTATGTCCAAAGTCATTATTTTACATGTCTCTCCTTTTAACATTTTACAATAGTGTAAAACATAAACTTATTATTCTTTGCTGTCAGATACAAAAGAATATCTTACCAGTTATCTCTGTTATCACAGAAAAGAATATCAGTGAGAAAGGACACAGGTTTAGATGATCTGAAGCTGAGGTGACAGGTGAGCTCCGCATTCATTCCACTGGGAGAGCCTGTGATGACTCTGCCTTTTGGAAACGTCACAGAAAGAGGATGAACCTCGTCCCCATCAAAAAGTCTTGCCGGGGGAATCTGGACATTTAACGTTGAGTCTCTGTTTAAAATTAAAAAAAAAAATAGCTCAAAATACATGCAAATAATTGGATTTAAATGTGTCTTCCTCTGGTTTTTGAATCATTAGAAAAACTAAACAAGAAATATTTGCAATAATATGCCCAATTATTAAAGACATTTTTGCATCATCTCTTATTTTCTGGCCACAATATAAGATGGATAATATATTAATTTGACCACATAAGATGATCCAAAGTTCCTTCTGCCCTCTATGAATTAAAAAAGAGGATTAAAACACCTGACTAAATACAATGTGTTTTTATCGATAGCCATGATATAAATTGATATAAATTGAATGTATCCTTATAAAAATTTACCAAAACTTACCAATTTGCTAGCTAAAGCTTTAATGCATGTAGACCAAATATAATACTAATAGATGCATATATACACAAAAAATTTTTAGTGTGGATACTATTAAGCACTTATATAAATATGTCATGAATAGTTTCTAATCATTACTACTAGAAAATTCCACTTAATGTTCACATATTTCATTATATACCTATAATTTATTTAACCAATCTAAAATGTTCATTATTTCTAATAATAAAATATGTAGTATTCACTTATAACTCTAACACTTGATAACTTTTAGTGGTCAGTTAATATTTAGCCATATTACTTTTAAAATTTTATTATATATGTAGGCTCCTATAACAAATAAGAAGTGTTATCAAATGGGAATCATATTTCCCTAGTATGTTAATTACAGTGAAGATCATTCTGCTAATTAACTAAAAAAGGTAAAGAAAGATCTCAACTTCAGTTACTTAAACTGATATAGTTCATTGCATAAAAAAATTAAAAATGTAATTTATAAATCAGGCTTAAATCCAATTCTGTTGTTAAGTAGCTAAGTGTCATTGGATAAGTCATTAATGCTGTTGATCTTATTGTGTGTACAATGAGGAGACTGGATTATATCATGTCTACAGTCACTGTTACATGTTCCTTTCATTATACCACATTTTTTCAAGATTCAACTTTTGACGTGAGATGATTTTTAAACTGATACCTTTATACATTCATTCAGAAGTTGAAAGAGTAAAATATTAATCCATATATTAGACAATGTTTCTTGATAAAAAAATACTTTTTAGCACAATATAATTCAAGCCACTTCTATTTTCTGTTTAAGCAACAGGATTAGTGTCTGCTTATGAGACAGGGTCTTGAAAATACTGGGAATCCCAAAGTTGTCCAGTTAATGTTGAGCAACTATACTCTTGTCACCAAATAGCATTCAGAGCAAGCTCTAAAGTGTAAGTAAGCACTCATCATATTTTGCAGGCCAAACGTTAGAAACTACAAGTTGCTCTGGGCTCCACAACTTGAATAATATCCATTTATTTTCAACCATCACATCACACTTGGAACTTTTTTCGCTGGATCTCAGAATGCTTAACTGTAAAATAAGAGAATGAACTAGAGAAGCTCTGAGGTAGCTACAAGATCTAGAAGTTGATGAAAATAATGCTTACAGGCAATTCACACTGGTGTACCAATCCTTAAATTTTGTATAATTTTAACATGTCAACAAGCCAATCTTTATATCTACTTCTTTACTGACAGGTGTATATTTCTAAATAAAAATTAGTTTGGCTTTCCTTTTTTTTGTTTTACACAAAGGATATACATATACATAGTCTTGCTTGACTTTTACTTGCCACAGGACATTTATGCAGTTCCCAGGTTTTGCTGTTCTGAATAAGGTTACTATGAAATAATTTCAAACGTAACTTATAGTACACACATGCAAGAGTTTTTCTTGCATATACTGTGAAGTGGAATTACTGGGCCCTGAAATATGCAAATATTACACTTTACATATTATTATCCAATGTGGTCCTAACTCATTGACATTGTAACTAGAACCTGACTTCTTAACGTTTGCCTACCTATGACAAGCAAAATGCTTACCTTATTGTAGTCTCTAATTTTCATTTCCAACTTTACAAAAAGGTCAATTATATGCTTTCAGATGTTCATTACCCACTTGTGAATCCTCTTCTGTGAAGTACTTATCAGTTTCTTGTCAACATTTCTGTTGAGTGATTTGATTGTTTTTCTAACTAATTTTTATCACTCATTTATTTTTTTGTTAGCATGATTACTAGACTAAAAGTCTTAAGAAATTCTTCTCTACCCAAAGATGTTAAAATTGTTTCCTAAAATATTTTTTAATTTTTTTCCTTTCACATTTAAGACTTTAATCCATTTGTAATGGATCTTTGTGTATTATGTGAGACAGGAATCCAGTTTGAAATATTCCACACAGATAATCAGTTGCTCCAGCACCATTTATTGGCTAGTAACCTGTTTTCTCCAATGATCAACAATACCATTTTTGTCAAATATTCACTACCCATTCATATATGGGCTTTCTGTAAGTCTCTTTATTCTATTCCTTTGATCATGTTTATCTATTGCTACACCACTACCATATTGGTTTAGTCTTGATATTTGGTAAGGCAAGCCCTTCTTATCTTATTCTTCTTTAGGAATGGCTTGGCTATCTTTTTCTTTTTCTTTTTTTCAAAGATTTATTTATTTGAGAGAGATGGGGACGGGGGGAGCAGGGTATTGGGGAGAGGGGCAGAGGGAGAGGGAGAGAGAGTCCCAAGCTGACTCCATGCTGAGTGCAGAGCCCAACATGGGGTTTGATCTCACGACCCTGAGATCAAGACCTGAGCTGAGATCAAGACGGAGGCTTAACCAGCTACGCCATCCAGGCACCCCAGTGCTATGTATTTTAAATAGTGAACTTATATGTGTCTATTTTGATAAATGATCTTTATAGCTTTAAAATTTTACCTGTAGATTCTTTTAATTTCCTTTATGGAAAATCATCTAATCTATAGATAATGACAGTGCTTATTTTCCTATCCTTACATATTTTATTTCTCTTAACTTCATTCATGGACTACATTTTTCAGGAAAATGTGCTAGAGAGACAGTGATAACAGGCATCCTTGTCTTTTCTTTTTTATTTAAAGGGAATTAATTTATGTTCCAGTATCCATGATAATGTCTCTTCTAGATACATGATAGAAAATTTTAACAATTTAAGGGATATCTCTTTTATTCCTGTTATTAAGAGTTTTATCATGAATGGTTTTGGAATTTTACCAAATGCTTTTCTTCTGCATCTATGGAAATGATCATATCATTATTCTCTTTAATTTGTAAATGTGGGAGATGAAATACAAAGGCATTTTAGATTTTCTAACATTAGGCAAATCTTGCAATACTGGGATACACCCAACTTGGTCATGATTTATTAATATATTTGTATTATATATGTAATATACATTATATTAATATGTATACATAATTTAATTCATTAAGAATTACTGCATCTATAGTCATAAGAGAGATCGGCCTATAATTTATCTTTCTCATACTCTAATTATCTAATTTTATAATAAAACTTTCTGACTTCATAAAACAAATTAGAGCACATCGTCTCTTTTTCTCTCGTCTAGAATTTCTACAAGGTTTGAGATATCAGTTTCTTGCAAGTTTAGTAAAACTTGCCTATAAAAACATCAGAAGATGATATTTTCCTTGTAAGAAGATTTTAAATATTGATTCAAAGACTTTTGACTTTCTATGCATTCCCAGTATGGTTTTAGTGAATTATATTTTTTCTACAAACTTCCCATTTCATTTTTCAAATGTGTTGGAATAAATTTCCTCATAGTATTTTGATTATCTCATTTTTCTCCACTGGATATATAATATGCCCCATTATTCTTAATACTATTTAGTTGTATCTTCTCTTTTTTTGTTCCTTGTCAATATCACTGTATCAGTATCCATTGTATTAGTTTTTCAAAGAACCAACTTTTGGGTTCAGTGAGCCTATCTTCTATATATTTGCTTTCTATTGCTTTTATTTCTACTTTTTCATTTTATCTACATTCTATATTCCTTAGGTTTAATCCATTATTCTTATTCTTATTTATTAGGTTGAATACTTGAAACTTCTAACCATTTTTTATCTACTATCAGCATTTAAGACTACACATTTCCATCTAAATACCATTTTTGCTACATTCCATAAGTATATTTATTTGTTTATTGCTTAACCACTGGAATTTAATATAACAGATGCAGTTAACTCAACACAGATGCAGGCTTACTTGTCTAAAGAAAGCAACAGAAGTGACAGTATGTGTTTCAAGTTAAGTCTTCAAATTTAATACTCAAACACTGTTTTTATATCAGTGAATGTTGTTTTCATGTTTTGATACATGGTATTTCAATTATTATTTGCAGAATTCAGTATGGTATCTTCTTTGACTCTCTATAGAAGGTTTTTTTAGGGGCACTTGGATGGCTCAGTCAGTTGAGTGTCTGACTCCTGATTTTGGCTCATGTCATGATCTCAGAGTCATGAGATCAAGCCCCTTGTCAGGCTCTACACTCAAAGCAGAGCCTGCTTGAGATTCTCCCTCTCCCTCTGACCCTCCCCCCACTCACGTGTGTGCTCTCTCTCTCTCTAAAATGTAAAAAAAAAGCAAGTTTTTTAAAGCAGTTCCAAATGTATGGCAGATCTGTTAATATTTTCTTTAATGATTTTAAAATTATAATTATTATCAGAAAACATAGTATATATGTTGTCAACTCTTCAAAATTTGTTAAATTTGAGGGGTGCCTGGGTGATACAGTTGCTTAAGCATCCAACTCTTGGTTTTGGCTCAGGTCCTGATCTCAGGATTATGAGACTGAGCCCTGAGTTAGGCTCTGCGCTCAACGGGGAGTCTGCTTGGGATTCTCTCTATCCTTCTGCCCCTCCCCACTCCCCACTCATGCTCTCTCTCTGTCTCCAAAATAAATAAATAAATCTTTAAAAAAAAAACTGTTAAATTTGAACTATAGAATGATACACTTTCAGTCTTTGTAAATATCTCCTATATGATAGAGAAAACTGTGTATTCTATAACTGCAGGGTGCAGTACTTTATAGTACTAT